TATGCTGTAATAACACTTTCGTGATTTACATTAAAATTAAAAAGTGTAGTTGGTATATGCAGTTAGAAAGAAATGGATAAAATGCCTCTCTTGTACATGTTATGATAAAATTTCAATAATTTAAAAATTGTGTGCCTTGTATTGAAACTTTGCAAGATGAAATTTAAACAAACTGTGACTCTTAGCATACAGCTTGTCTTGTCTTTATTAAATAATACATGAATAATATTTTACAATTTCACGTACCATTATAGTTAATAGATAAGTGATACATTACAAGCATAGATGAAATGGAATAACATTTTGTGGTCAGGGAAAAGACAGAATTTTAATCTGTCCAAGGTGTTGGAACCATGAGTAGTAGAAACTTTTCCTGCATGGCTTGAAGTTCTTATGGCAGAAATGGTCTCAACTTCCATACAATCAGAATCAGGACATTCCTTGAATAGACAGGGTCTTGCTTTGAGGTCCAACAATCTGTTCTCAGTTCTGCGTTGCAGGCCTGGGTAATAGTCATATTTATTCATGTAGCATTGTTATGTATTATGCTATCATCCTTTCTGGATTATAAAATTTCATTAACCATTTTAGTTAATCCAAATGGTCAATCTCATAGCATACAAGCAGTGGTGAAATATTTGTTTTATTGAGAACAGAACTGCTTGCAGTTCTTTCTTTGTGGTACAGTATCCTCATAATGCAACTGCAATAATACTACCCCAATTCTATTGTTGCTAGTGTTGGTGCCCATTAGAAAATTGATATCTTGTCATAACATGCCAGCATTGAAGCATCCACAAAAGCAAGCTTTAGGGATTGGAATACTTGTAAACATTCCTTGTTCCATGTAAAATACATCTCAGTTTTAATGAGAGCAGACAATGGTGCAGTTGGCCACAAACTGATGGTAATATGACTGGATTCAAAACAAGGCAAACTGCAGACTTCTCACTTAGTCTTGGGTTGAGGCAATTGTCTTACCACTGCTACCTTGGCAGTGTTTATAGACACACCATCTCTACCTACAACATGACCAGGAAACTTCACTACTGAACCTAGATTTTCCTGGTTTCAGTTTCAAGTCTGCTTTATTTATCTGTCTGAATAGCAATCTCAGCCACAGACTTGATCATGTGATCAAACATCAAAACATCATCGATGTAGACCAGGCATTTTTCCCATTGCAACTCTTTCAGTGTAAGCTCCATTGTCTTTCAAACTGGCTGATGTGTTACAGATGCCAAATGTCAGGATGCAGAACTCTTATAAGCCTTCTCATGTGGTGAAAGCAATTCGAGCAATTCTTTGTTCTTTGCTCTCTTCATCCAACTCAACTTGCCTGTATTTGGATGCCAAATCTAAATTATTGGACTGATGGGAAACCAGTTGTTCGACCCTATCAACCACTTTGTTCCAGAAAACATTGACATGTTCAAACAAGAAGTCACTGAGTTGCTTTCATTGCATTGGGCTTAGATTGCTTGCATAATTTCAAATATGGTGGTACCCACACAACATGATGGACACAACATTTGTTTTACCATTAGCCTCTATTATTTTCAATTCACTTACTGCATCTGTAACCATTCCTGCTTACAGCTGGGTAGGTAACTGCCCTTAATTACAAAACAAAACCTGCATTTATTCTTTCCTCTGGCAGATAATTGTTTAAGCTAATGCATCTTGCTTTTTGGACAGTAAACAGCTTATTTCATGCATAGTCCACTGTTCCTGCATTTTATGTGACTAACACTGCATGTCTTCATACAGAACATCAGTTCACCACTTGCACAAGCAAACCTGACTGGTATTTTCTACAGTTTGTTCATCTTGATGATGATGACAGTGCCAGGTTTGAGTTTGGAGATGACTTCCTTCATTCTGTGAACAACATTTCCTAGACACAGCTGAAGATCTATCTCTCCACTGACATCTAGTTTATTGCCACTTGTTAGAATGAAATTGGTATCCAGTGGTGGTCTCACTTGAAGGCCTTGATATATTACAAAAAATACCAGTATTGTAGCTGCTTCTCTGTCATCTAGGGACTCAATCTCTTATTCCCTCATAGATGCTTATAAACTTCACTCGGCTTCACACAACTCTTTCAACCCAGGCTTGGTTCGTGGGACTGGCCTCATAACCATTTTGTGCTTGTTATAGTTTTCATGCTATAAC